CAGCTCTGGTCCTGCGTCTTTGGGTTTGGAGCCAAACGTGTTTCCTTTGTGTTTCTGGTCTGGGAGGCAGCAGCCAGCAGACGCTCCGATAACCACAGTCTGTGCTCCAGCTGGACCGCCCCTTGAGCTCAGGTTTTCAGTGACAGACTCCAGGGCAAACCTCCTCTAGATGTGGCCATGCCAACCCTTCCTGGGCTCTCTATTTGGATACAGCCAAATATTTTTGGCTTTTCTGTCTGAAACTTCACAAAATTACTCCCTTAGAGTCACCCAAAAATACTATTTCTTGTTCTGAAATAGCATCTTACACTCTCATCAGCATTTTTTCCCCTTTTTTCCTTTTCCTAGGCTGTAAATTCCCCAAAAGTCAGTGTCATAAACTGTGAGACCATTCTTAGAGGTGAGGAGGCCTCACCCCTCATTTGCTGAGGCTCCACTGCAGCCAGAAACAGGGAACCTTCCTCAGGGTCACTTTGAGGTGTCAAGGAGGGCAGCCCCAGGACATTGTGACCTCACAATGGGCCCAGCCTGTTCCCCCTTCCCCCACTGAAAGCCAACCTCGGGTCAGGTGGGGGTCTCAGCCCAAGGGAGGTGGGCCTCCCACCCTGCTCCCCCGTCACAGCTGTGGCCCCTTGTCCTCCACACACCTTGTCTCTGACCCATCCGACATAGCTGAGTCCTCTGTGGACTCTTTTGTGGCCTCGGAATAAAGCGTGGCTCCTTCGTAGAAGAGGCAGTCAGAAAAATAGACCAAGGGGAAATATTGGCCCCTGAAGACGCTCCAGGAGGGTTAAGCCAGTCCGGGCTTCTTATCTGGTGTTTCAAATATTTGTCCTGAGATCCCCCAGGGAGCAGTGTGGAGAGAGGCACCACCCACCCTGAAGCACAGGACTCGAGGCCGCCTCCTTCCTGGAACTATTTTATTGTTGAAGCTCCTCTGGGCCTCGCCTTTTCCTGGGGGGTCCCCGGGAAGGCCTTGAGGATACAGCTGGGCATCCCTGCTGCCCCAGAGCTGCCCGGAGGGCCAAGCCGGGAGAGGCGTCCTCACTGCACTGAGGAGGCCCCGGGGCTGGCCCAGAACTCAGGGACAGCTGTGTGCCTGGGCCACACGGTCCCGCAGACTCGGGAGAGGCTGCTGTGGGGTCGTGAAGGGCTGCCTCGCACCTTTGTCTCACGGGTCTTCACTCCCCGGGCTGCTTCTCGGTGAGTTCAGGAGGGTGAGGATGGATAGAACACAGGTGAGAAAACTGGGGAGCAGCAGGGTTCTGTCCAAAGTCAAGTCACAGCCGTTCACCCACCACCCCAGCCCGTTACAGCCCATGTGGAAGGCTGGATCCCCTCTCATGGCCTCGCTGGGCACTGGCAGAACGACTCTAGGGCCTCAGGGAGAGCTTGGCTACACCGGGACTCAAGGTCCCTCGAAATTCACAGAACTGAAGTGTTACATAGAGCCTTTTGTTCATTTCCCCAAATGGACTGTTGTTGCATCTCAGTAGACAAACAACACATACTTAGCTTCTGACAGAAAAAGACTATGTTTCAACTAGAGCATAAGAATGTTTCTTAGAGCAACAGGGAGGCATGTATGTGTTGGGGACATGTTCTCCTGGATCCTAATGATTTGGGTGTGCTCCTCTCAGGCTCCAGAAGAAACCCGAATTCCATGGAGACAGGTCCCAAGGTCTCCTAGGACCTCTCCCCTGTTTTGACAGGAGGGTGTTCAGTGCCATCTCTATTTGCGGAAGAATCCTTTAGTTCTCTGTGTCACCCACACTCTCAAACACTTCCACCAGTTTAATGAAGGGGAAAACCCAAACCAGTGATGATATACAGAACTCCATTACAACCCCCACCCCCACACTCCAAAACAAAGCTCATTTGGCGTTTTATTTTAAACAACTCATCCAGTTGTTGCTTTACTGCACATTAGAATCACCCGCGGAATTTAAAATAATCCTGGGCTTTGGGACTCAGACACCAGTAATGTTTTGTTTTGTTTTTAACTCTCCAGATGATTCTAAAGTGCAACCGAACTGAGAACCAGTGATCTGGACCAGGGCTGTCTCAGACTTCAGTGTACCTTTGAGTCACCTGGAGGCCCTGGTAAAATGGAGGCTGCTTCAGGAGGCCTGGGTTGGGACTCTGGAGTCTGTGGTTCTCCCACACATCAAGGTGATGCTCATGCTGCTGGTCTGTGCACCACACCTTAAACAGACATAGCCAAGGTGTACTTGTTTCCCTCCAATGCCAAGGGGCTTGGGGGGATGGAAAATATCCACGGCATCTTAGGCAAAAATAGGCTTGGGAAAGGGAGAAAGCTCCTTTGATTGTAGAACTGCCACCCGTTGTTAAGACATGATTTCTAAGCTTCTGACATAGATGGGGCTGATGACAATTGTTTAGGGAAGGATCTGGACTTCCATAATCTAGAATGTTCCAGGCGAAAGGGACCTGGAAGATCATGGGGGTTGGTGATTTCCAACCCTAGCTGATTGTCAGAATCGCCCAGGAAAATGGTCTAAAAATTCAGATTTCTGGGGCCACTGGAATAGCCATTCATTCAGCATATTTTTAGGTAACCAATTTGGGAGCCGCTGACCTTGTCCGCCCCAGCCCACCTCCTGCTGCTCACATAGACATGGTGTATATAAGAGGAAGCTGGCTCAGGCATGGGCTTGTCAAAAAGAAACGTGGGTGAGTGACAGGCAGACCTTCAACCAGGTCACAAACATTAGGGACCCTGATTCTAGCTAATAAATTCAAGTTAGGTGTCTGCGTTTGCCTTCCTGAGCTGCCAGGCTAATTTTATGAGACAGTAAAGACAACAGTCGAGTGAGTGTACGGATAGCTAATAAAAAGGGTGGCTTGGCCCAACCAGAGGACAAGGAGAGTCTGTGCTTGTCCAGGTTGCCATACCCACGTGTGGAAGAGGGACCTGACACCCCCTCTGGGCTGCCTGCCCGTTCTGTGTTACTGGGTGCTGCCCAAGTCATGGCTTCCTGTCTTTGTACAGCCCTCCTGGCATCCTTAGGTCCCTTCAAAGACAGAGATTTTTAGAGCCTCATGACAAGCACAGCCACAGTCCTAGCCAATGAGTGGAAATATTCCTGCCTGCCTCGCTGGGACTTCCTACAGCCTGACGCTCCAGTTCTATACGCCTGTGTCACATCGGCTCCATTCACAAAGACAACATGGGACAGACTGACTATTCCAAATCTGCTTATTCTCAGGACCCAGAACTGGTCCTTGGGTGCCCCACTCCCCCATACACACACCAATATAAACTGAAAACACTGCCTGAGTGGGTCAAAGAGATCATGCCATAATTAACCATGTTTTTTTGTTTTGTTTTGTTTTGTTTTGTTTTGTTTTGTTTTTTCCTTTTCCAAACCAATAGACTTTCCCCTTTATGGATGCTGGATTTTTTCTTTTGTTAAATTAGGCATAAATATTTGATTTTAAGTCTTAATCTATATTCAATCATTCAGTCACATATTTATTTCCTGAGCCCTTACATTGTATTAGTAAACACCACATATTTCTGTATGTTTTAATTCCACTATCCTGTTGGGTAGATATGATTGTCTCCGTTTTACATATAAGGAATCTGAAGTTTAGATAGAGATTGTGAGTGACTCATTCAAGGTCACACAACCATAAAGCCATTTAACTGAGGTTTGAACCCAGATCTCTCTGATCCCCAAATACCTTTTCCTTCCCCCAAACCAGACTGTCCCCAAGCAAGTCTCTTTCATTTTATGAGACTGAGGAAGGCTGTTAATTGCAATTTTTTTATTAAAGTTTTTTTTAATGATAAAGACATGATAAAGCCAAAAAACCCCAAACATACCACCAATAACCGAAAGTAGTTTCAACACATAACAACTCAGTATTCATAATTTACTAGCTCACTCCCACATCAGTAAGTTAAAATTTGTATATGGTGTTTCCCCTGCCTCTCCAGTCTAAATCAGGGCCGCCTTCCATCACAGCACAGCCCATTATTTCTCCTTCCCCTGCGTGTCCCCCACGTAACACGTACCAGATGCTTGCTCTGTGCAGATACTGTGCCACATGACACCGATTTAGGGAGGGACAAACAGCAGCATGACACGAGTTATCTGCCTCACATCTCTTTTGGAGCGATTTCTACTACTTCCAGCTTGTGGCTAGTTCTTTAAAATAAACTTTTTAAAATTTTGGAATAGTTTTAGATTTAACAGAGCAGTTACAAAGACAACACAGAAAGTTCTTACCCAGTTCCCCTCATGTTAACATCTACATCACTGAGGTTAATTATAACATCATTTTAGAAGCGGTTAGCTTTTCCTTCCCTGTGGAGTGTGGATGACCATTGGTGTGGAGCCTTGGCCTTGTTGACCCCTCTGGGACTCAGTTTTCTCAGTAAGATGGCCTTTGCCAGCATTTCTTGAGAGGATTAAAGGAGCCCGGGACTGTGAAAACCCCCAGGATGGTGCCCGGCACACTGCTGACTTTGAACCTCTGTAATCAGCCTGGAAGCAAAAGTTTCCATCAAGCTGTGTTTAAAACAGGCCTGGGGGCTGAGCCATACCTTAGCTAGTGTGTCTCTAATATACTCTGCGTGCTTGCCTTCCTCCTCCTCCTCCTCTCCTCCTCCCCCAATAAATCCTGTCTGACGAATTCAGGCCAAGGGCAGTTGTTCTCAACAGAAAGACTGCTGTTCCAGGTCGCATCTTTCAAAGTCGTCGGCCGAGCCAGGTGGTCCCAGCCAAGCCAGGATGGACACTGATGGACGGCCCATGCACCCTGAATGCCTAAGTGGCAGACAAACGCTGAACCTGAAGAGATTGCCCAGGCGGCACAGTGTTGAAACCATGTCCAGCTGGGTGGTGTTAATGGTAGTGAGAGGAAGGTGGGGTGGGGGTGGGGGGGGTGAGGCAGAGCGAGAAGGAGAGAAAACAGACGTAATTAGAAAATTTGGGCTCTAGACATTTTCCTCCCCCTCCTTCCTGCTTTATTTTATGTCCCCTGAGCTAGACGCCAAGCTGGCACACATGTTTTCAGAAATGAATAGGACACTTGAAAGTTACAGAATTAAATTGACACTCTTGGTGACCGAGGTTGCTGGTGCCTGCTCTCTCACAGATGCCCTCTGAGAGAGGCGCCTCCTCTGGGCACAGCTCGTCTCGCCCACCATGCCTTGGAAGCTAGCAGATGCCTGAAGAGAGCATGACCGGGGCTGTGCCTGGGGAGTGAGTCTTCTCTTTAAAGCATTCTTCCATGTTTATACAAGTCCATTAAGAAGATTCCACTCAAAATGAGTACTTGCTAAAACCTTTTAAGAACAACTGTCTATATTCCTTAATTAGCACAAGAGAACTTGAAATAAAATGTTTACACCCTGTTATTATTTTTTTTGTCTTTTTCTTTCTTTTTCTTTTTACAGAGAACAAGGTTGTCCTTTAATGCCAGGCTTTCCTTGCGTGCCCAGTTTTTTAATTGGACCACTCCCTGCACTTCAGGTCTTTGGCTGCAAGACCATGTGAGTGGAGGAAGTTGGGGGTGTCTCCTCCTCAGCCAGGCTAAGCAGACAGCCAGACATTGTAGTAATGCTGCTCAAGTAGAGAGTGAAAGGAATCACACACAGCCACCTTCGGAAGCAGAGAACAGGAGCCAAAGGTTACACACCTGAGTTTTGAAGAGAATTATGGCTAATTTGGAAAATTATCATGTATGGAAGGTTCTAGAAATCTAGGTCTTTTTCCCCCCACACATTAAATAAAGTTTGAAGTAAGTTGAGCTTTGTCATAACCAAGATGTTTCTACCTTTTACCTGTTGAGAGTTGACCTATACTCCAAAATGAGATATAGAAAACATAGGTGTTTCTTGGCATACCTACCAGGATGTAGGAAAGGGCTTTGCACTTTATTCGCAAGTTGCAGAACACTAACTTTGGAGCCTGTTTCTTCTTTCTTTCTGGGCAGATGCAAACTCTTGTCAGCAAGATCTCCTGTCTGCACTATCCTCCCTCCTTCCTCTTTTATCTTCATGTTACCCTGCTTTTGCCCTTTCTTCTCTGGAAGGTCCAGAGTTCTGCAGAGAAGAGAGAAAAGGGAGGAAATGGTCAAGGGTCAAGTTTCATGGAAGAAAAAAGACTTTAGCAAGAACAGCTTTGGCCTAGGTCACCACACTGCGTTACCGCCCTCGTGCAGGGCAGCAATTAATTTCAATCCCCTCAGTTCTGTGAAATGAAAACATTTGGGTAGATGTTTAAAAAGCTCCTTCTAGGCTTTTCTTCAATCAACATGAGTCCCAGCTTCTTTTATTCACCGTTCCTTAACAATACAAAAAGTTGGCATCCTCAGCTACTTGAGGTTGCTGGGCGCTCAGTGGACGTGGACATTTAACACCCAATATTGTCTGTTAACATCACTTCGTGAGACCATTTGGGAAGGACCTTCACATTTCAAACAAAATATCTGAGTTCATCAGGTCTCATGCAAAAGACCTGGGTGGAGCTGTCTGTGTGTAGGTAGATTAGCGCTGCAGCTTAATAGAAAGTAGGAACCATTCTAGATGCTTAAAAAATAAGTCAACATGGGTGACCCTTGAAGACATGCTAAATAAAATAAGCCAGACACAAAAGGATGAATATTGTGTGATTCCATTTACACGAGGTACCCAGAAGGCAAATTTAGAGACAGAGTAGAATGGTTGTTACCAGAGGGTGGGCGGAGGAGAACAGGTGTTGCCTTGCAGCTGCCGCTCGAATGCTCCTGCGCACTGATCGTTTGAAGACATAAGGAAGTGTCTTGGAATGCTGAGACCCGAGGGAATGATCTCAGTAAAACTTCCATATCCGGTGGTCTGGGAATGCTGAGGCCATCCCGGGGATCATACATATGTGTGAAAGCACAACTAGTGCTTGATCACAATGAGTTTTGGTGAAGCAGCTGCCGGTCTAATCGAATCAATTAACTGGGCATAGATATTCAAATTGACTTCTTTGTGACCGTTGTAAATAAAAGTTATTCACCCACCAGGATCAGGGTTTGCTCTCTCTGTCTGCAGAGACGAGACCCCTGGCCCGCGGAAACTCTATTTTGACTCTTGTGATTTCTTAACCTGTCGCCGCCCCTCCTCGAGCTTCCCAGCCCTTGTCACGCGGGACGTGATATCTGGCGCCTTAACGTGGGACCTCGAAGAGGGAGAGTGAGATTCCTAGTCTAAGAATAAAGGTTTAACGGCGATAGGGCCCGAGGGAGGAGTCGCAGCAACTACCAGATAAAGAGGTAGGGAATATCCCAGGGAATTTAACCAGGGCAAACGGGAATTTACTAAAAAACTTCTGTGTGAAAGAGTGTGAATGTGTGAGTGATTGATTACAGCTTCACGGTGTTAACCACGAAGCTTGAGTGGGCCCCCACCTGCGGTTCCGTAGTCGCGTGGAAAACGGCATAAGGGCAATTTGGCTGAAAAGTCAGCCTGGCCTGGGGCTTGCACAGGCACGCCTTTGTCAAGACGGACTGAAATTCTCGCGAGGGAAGCGGCCAGAGGGGCATCTGAATGAAATTTGAGTGATAAGGCTTACTTTATTCTTGTTACTAACATGGGAAACGCTGAGAGCCAAGACAGACCTTATATTTATCTGCTCAAACAGCTTCTTAAAGCTGGGGAGCTCGAATTTCAGACCAGAGATTAGAAGAGCTCTTAAGGGTGATTGCAACTTATTGTTCCTGGTCACTTAATTTAGGAATAGTAGACTTGAAAGCATGGGAGGAAATCGGTGATGAACTCTGTGACGTACAGTATTTAGGCGTTCCTCTCCCGGCAACAATTTGGATGACTTGGCGGATAGTCCGGTCAGTTTTAGAGCCTTTACAAACAGACGTGCAAGGTGGAGAGGAGGACGAGGCAGAAGGCTATAATTTGCCTTCAGTCCGTTTAGTTCCGCCTCCGCCGCCGCCAGCTATGGCGAGGGAGAGGGGACACTCCAGGCGCAGGAGGAAAGTGTTCATCCTTTCCTCCCCGCTGCTCGCCCCCTCCCCCTCCTAGGAGAGATTCACAGACGCAGCTTTCCGCAGTAGAAAGAGCCATCCAGCAGGCGTGTCTGGAGGGCGATTTGGAAGCTTTTGCTTTTCCTGTTAGACTTCATGAGCGTGTTGCTCCTGGTACAGATCCTCGAAACCCAAACGGGGTTTATGAACCTCAGGTATGAGGCTTTTCCTTTTAAGATATTGAAAGAATTAAAACTTGCTGTAATTCAGTACAGTCCTACTTCGCCATTCACCCTAGGCATAATTCGTAATTTGGCTGATGGAAATCGTTTAATTCCTATAGATTGGCGTACAATGGCTCAGACATGCCTTTCGCCAGCTTAATTTTTACAATTTAAAACTTGGTGGACAGATGGAGCGGAAACCCAGAGTAGATACAACCAGTCACCTAATATTGCTATTTCTCAAGATGAGCTCCTAGGGACGAATAACTGGGAAAGCACTTGGAATCAGCTAGTTATGGATGATCAGACTATAGCTCAAAAAGGATTTGCTTAAATGCATGGGAAAAAATAGAAACAGATGGTCAGACTCCCAAGTCTTTTCAAAAAATCCTGCAAGGTCCAACTGAATCCTATACAGAATTTGTAGCCCGCTTGCAAGATGCAATAAGGAAGCAGGTAACTAATTTGCAAGCAGCTGAAATCATTCAACAAATCCTTGCCTTTGATAATGCAAATGATGATTGTAAAAAGGCTATTGGGCCAATGAAAGGAAAGACGGATCTGTCAGGTTATATTCGCTTATGTCAAGGAGTAAGAACAGAGCAATGTAAGGCTGTAATGTTAGCTCAGGCAATGGCAGGAATAGAAATCGGACAGAATAAATTCCCAGGAAGTTGTTATAATTGTGGGAAATCTGATCATACAAGAAATGGGGAGTTGGAGTTTAATGGGGACAGAATTTCAGTTTAGGAAGATAAAGTTCTGGAGTGATGGTGGTGATGATTACACACAATGTGAATGTACTAAATGTCACAGAACTACACTTAAAAATGGTAAATGGTTGGAGTGTGACCGGGTAACTCAGTTGGTTAGATCATGGTGCTGATAAGCTGATAATACAAAGGTTGCTGGTTCGATCCCCGCATGGGTCACTGTGAGCTGTGCCCTTTCTAAAAGAGGCAACTATGCCAATGTAGCATGAAAGCAATGTGTAACCAATGAGCATGGATGTTTCCCAATAAAAGTAAAAAAAAAAAAAAGTAAATGGTTAAAATGGTAAATTTTATGGTACATATATATAAAATATGTATTTTATATATATCCATAGTTAAAAGAAAATAAATGTATAAGTCAAAAGGATTCTTATGGTTTACTTATGACTATATGTTTGTTAAAAAATTAAATACAGAGAAGTATAAAAATCAAATTAAAATAATACAGTATTCACCAGCCAGATTTAGCTACAATTATGATTTCTATACAATCTTTTTCCTTTGCATCTATTTATGGATGTAATGCATAAAAGCTCAAATCTTTGAGTTCAGACTGTATAAGCAGTTTGTTCATTTTATTTTTTTCATTTATGAGCATTTTCCAAGTGATTAAAATTTATTCGGGAGCATAATTGTGATGGTTACATACTAGTTCAGGCACGCTGTAATTTATTCAGGCCTCCTTCAGTTTCTGGACATTTAGGTGTTTTCAATTTTTTACTTTTTAAATAACATTAAAGTATTCATCGTAACTCGCTTTTATCTGCCTCTGAAGATTTCCTTAGGACAGCTTCCTGGAAACAATACTAGGGCAGGTTATATATTTGAAAAGCTTTTTACCGTGTGTGTGTGTGTGTGTGTGTGTGTGTGTGTGTGTGTGTGTTTTCAAACTAGTTTCAGAAGCCCTTTACCTGTTCCTTTGGGGATGGTTTGAAGCACCTGTAATCTCATCCTCTTTTGGTTGTTGCTGGCTGAGCGGGCCTCAGGTTCCTGTCTCCTGAAAACTTTCTTTAAGGAAGATATGTTTGAACTCTGGTCATCCCTTAGGCCAAACCTAGATGTCTGAGCAAAAGAGGTCTGTTGGTCAAAACCGAATTAGACAGTGTCTGGGGTTTTGTTAGTATAAACATGGCTCGTATCACACTGAAAAGGTGTGAGGTTACGGTTAAGCTCCCCCACACCCCTACCCCCAGCTCAGCATCCCGGCTTAGTCCTGGCTGCTACTGATTCATTAGACACACTTCCTGCTTTGAAGGCGCTAGGAAAGTGAAACCATGCTGAGCTTCCGTGGCTGCTGGCACACAAGTGGTTAAACGTAGCCTGGGTAACACTGACCTTGGGCTCCTCGGCACACGTGTCACTCACTCCTAAGTAACACACACAGACCCACCCTAGTAGAGAAAACTGGAATCTCTGATCCCCAGGCAATTTTTGGTTTTGGAAGTTCTTGAGGCTTTTCTTTAGAGTCTGCTGACTCTTTCTCAACACCTTTGCCCCACTTGTCCTGCATAACTCCCTTCCACTCTTTAGATCTCAGTTGAAATGTGAGTTTCCCATGGAAGCTTTTGCCACCATCTCAAACTAGCTCAGCACCCCTAATGTGCTTTTTCCCACAGTGCTCTTTAACAAATTATAATACTAATTCAGGTAATCTTTTGATTAGTGTATCATTTCATGTTTTCATTCAATAAATATTTTTTAAGTGCCTCCATGTGCCAGAAACTATACTATTTGCTGAGATTACAGAGGTGAGCCTCCTTTCCTTGTTCAGCTTATAGTCCAGGGGGAAATAAACAAATAAAAATTGGGTTACAATTTTCAATGTGTTGTAAAGAGAATGAAGCAGGTCCCATGACAAAGATTGGTGGAGGGCCCCAATCAGACAGAGAGATCGTGAAGGCCATCTTAAAGACTGGAAGAGTGATAGGAGCCTCTTATGCCAAGAACCAAGAAGAAAGAGGGAAGTATGTGAAGGTATAAAATCTGGAGTGTTGGGGGAGCTCGAGGAACTGAAAGGCATGGAGAGAGTGTTGTGTGTTAGCAGAGAGGGATACTAGATGGGGGAGAAAATGTGGACAGGGCCAGAGTGGGAAGGAGGAGAGAGACATGGAACCAGCTCAATACGGCTGAGACACACAAAAGTAACCATTGGAGTTGATAATGTAGAGGTCGGTGGTGACCTTAGCAGTGTATTCCAGCAGCAGCTAGATTGCAGTAGGTTGAAGAGAAAATGGGTGGTGAGGAATTATAAAGTGTGTGCATAAGAAGGAAAGTTTGGGCTGTGCAGGGAAATAGAAAAATTGGGTGGATGGAATGAGATAAGAAGGGCCAAGGAAGGGATTGAAGTTGCTTTTCCTGATTTTCTTTTCTTATTTTTATTTTTTATTTTTTTTGGATGGGAGATAGTCAAGCATATTTATGAGCTGTGGGGATGACTCAGTGGGGAGAGAGACAGTTATAATGCTCAGAGAGGCAATAAATAGAGAGCTAAGTCCTTGAGAAGATAAGATGGGATGGTATCCAGAACAGAGATAAAGACTGTTATAGGAGAAGCACCACCTCATCAATTTTTTAACACTTTATTATGAAAATTTTCAAACATATGAAAGTAGAGAGAACATGAAACCCCAGGTACCCATCACTCCAGCTTCAACACATGGCCAGTGGTGTTTTATCTATAATCCTACCTAATTTATTACCCCTTTCCCAGATTTTTTGGGAAACAAATCCAAGACCCACTAACATTTCACCCATAAAGACATGAGTAGTATCCCTAAAAGTCATGGCTTTTAAAAAATCACAACAAAACTCTTGAGGAATAGAGTGAAGAAATAAAATAAAATTGCTATAGTCAAGCTGCGAAATTACTAAAATCAAGGAGGTAGGAGTATGAGGAAATGATTTTATTCTTGTTCTAACTAGCCTGGAAACCTAAACTTTTGAACTTTCCAGTCCTGCATCAATACATCAAATTTCTACATAACCCTGTGATTACCCCTTGAAGGACTAAGGAAAGAATGTTCACATATGCAGACTGCCTGACATTTAGTATTCAGACCATGGGCCATCTAGAGGATTATCACTAGCACCAATCCAGAGGCTAGGAATACTGAACTGATTCTTCTCAAGAATATACTTTTTACTGTAAAAAAGCTCAGCTTTTCTTTCTTCTTTGGAAAATTCTGGGTAATTCCTCATTGTGTTTCCAGTTTGCAAACCCTAAGACCCATAAATAAATCTTTTTTTATTTCTAGTTAAAGCTTTCAGGCTCTTTTTTAGTTCATTCAACACTATAATCAGACTAAAAACTTAGGAATTTCTTAACATCATCAAATATCCAGTCAGTGTTCAAATTTTCCTGATTGTTTATTATATGATATTATTTTTCACAGGAGGCTTCAAATCAAAACCAAAATAAAGTGCACACACAGAATTTGGCTGATATGCTTTTTAAAGTCTCTTTTAATCTATAGGTTCTCCTTCCTTTTCTCCCTTAACATTAGTGAAGAAATGAGGTCTTTGTTTCTATAGAGTTCCTCACATCCTGGATTTTGCTGATTGCATATCCAAGGTGTCATTTAACACAGTCTTTTCTCTCTTTTAAATCCTCTAAACTGTTAGTTCTCATCTTGTATCTAAAGGCTTGTTCAGATTCAGGTCTGATTTTTCCGTTTGTTTGTTTGGAGGGAGGGAGAGGCAAGAACACCTCACAGACAGTGCTGTGTCCTTCTATTGCCCACATCCAGAGGTACCATGATACTTGGTTGTTCTGTGACTTGGGATGTTAAGATTAGTCCATGAGGGGCAGACCGAGTGGCTCAGTTGGTCAGTTCGATTCTCACATGGTCCAGTGAGCTGTGCCCGAGCTGAGCTGATGCTGAGCTGCCAACTGGCAGCAGGATGTCTCAGGTGGTGAGAGCACGTGCTCCTAACAACAAGGTTCCCAGTTGGACTCCCGCATGGGATGGTGGGCTGTGCCTCCCCTCAACTAAGATTGAAGGACAACAACTTGGCTGTTTCCCTTCCCCAATTTCCCAACACTGTTTCCCTCCCCCAATTCCCCAATAAAATCTTTAAAAAAAAAAAAAAGATTAGTCCATGGGTTTGGTGTTGTCATCTTGCTCCACTCACTTATAAGGTTCTTCATCAGCTTTTTTTAATGGTCTTAGCGGTTACTGATGACCACTGCTTAGGTCCATTATTTCATTAGGAGTTACA